GCATTCTTCCTATCTTACACCTGTCTCTTTTCTTTTGTTTTCTTATTGCTATGGCCAGTATCTACACAGTCAAATTTTAACTAGAAGTATTGATTCCTGACATTCTTACTTTATTTTTTCTGGCATTCATGGGAATGTTTCTAAAGTGTCTTTATTTAGTAAAATATTTGAGGGGAGTTTTTTATTGGTACCCTTTATCACATTAAAGAAATTTTCTTCTGTTCCTATAACTAGATAACTTTTCATGTTGATTGGTTTAGCTCAGTGTTGATTTATATCAACTTCTTTTGGGGATGATTATTTTTTCTTTACTATATTGACATGTTACATGAAAATATTTGTTGATAATGAACCGTTTTTAAATTTCTGGAACTATTAAATTATAGGTCCTATTTACTGTCTTCAATTAAAATAATGAGCTGCTAGATGGTACAAACTATATTTCATCAATCAATAAGTAATTATTAATCACCTTATTACTAATAAATCATTTTCAGTTTCAGTACTATTAGAAGAGTAGTTTTACTTTCCAGTCAGAAAATATGGAGGCTAAGTTATTTCCTTGGTAGGCAAAGAGAGAAGAGAGGAAGAGAGTTAAGAATCTATTGTTAACTATTGCTGCATAACAAGTTGTCCCAAACTTTAGCAGCTTAAACCAACAAACATTTATTTTCTCAGTTTCTCAGGGTCAATAATCAGGAGCTGCTTAGCTGGGTGATTTTTGGCTTAGGGTCTCCCACAAGGTTGCAATCCAGCTGTTGGTCAGGTTGCAGTCATCTGAAGAGGCTAGGGCATCTGCTTCCAAGATGATTCACAGGGCTATTGGCCAAAAATTCTTCAATTCTTCCCCATGTGGGTCTTTCCATGGAGCCGTTCACACAACATGGGAGCTGGCTTCCCCAGCTCAAATGATCTGAAAGAATTAGAGAGAGAGAAAAGCCAGAACAGAAGCCACCACTGTGTGTGTGTGTGTGTGTGGTTGATGATGAAAGTGTCATCCTACCACTTCTGCTATATTCTGTTCTTTACAAGAAAGTTACTAAGTCCAGCCCACACTCAAGGAGATAGGAATTCTGCTTCACGTCTTAAAAGAAGGAATGAATATCAAATGATTTGAGGGCCTATTTTTAAAATCACACCTAGAACACTTTTTTTCTCAGACACAGTAAATAACTAATACACTTTAACTCTACTTCACCCCATCCTTCTACAATGTGTCCCAATTGCCCCTTTGGGGCTAGATAGAGTAAGACTTTACTTTATTCTTGTGTCCTTCATAATGTAAGCCAGAAAACTGTATGCTCCAACTTGGCCCTGGAAAATACCTAAAAAGATGATGCTTTGAAATTTCTAATTTTAATGCTGAGAACATGGGAATGGTATAAGGCAATATTTGCGTGCTAATTTGGTTATGGATAAGCCCTAATGTTTTTGAAACCTGTAATTGGAATATCAAATAGTGTTATTTTATTCTTTTAATTTTTATATGCATAACAGCAATAAATATAAATCTGAAGTATAATCAGAGGTTTTGTGTGTCATAATATATTAAATCCAGGTTTATGTGATATAAAAGTTAGTAATTGTCATGAACTTACATAGGTGAACAAAATAACTTGGATTAAAAATAGAATTCATATAATTTAATGTATTAAATAGGAAATAGAGAATCATCCTTGAACATCACAACATTAATTTACTCTGATTTACTGTCAAACAGTATCAAGCTTTAAAGTCTTAATGAATGTCATGGGAGCCTAATCAAATTTACAGAACACATTTTTACCAGATGCATAAATGTTTATTGTATACAGTGTTCACAAATGTACGTTCTATGGAATGTTCACATTGACACAAGATCAGCAACTCTCCCTGTCTCACTTCTCCATGTCAGAGTGGACACTGATTGATTCTTCTCTTCATGAATAGGTACATAGTGATCCTTAGCTCAAAAGAAGTACCCGTCAATCCGTCTTTGGGCTTCCTTCAGCAAAGAACTCAGAAAGCAAGTACTAGAGCCAGGCTTACCAAGTCTACTACAAATTCAAACTGATCTAAAACCATTGTCAGAAAACTCTTCCAATTCCTTTTTACCACTTTAAGTGGCTCAGAGTACACACCACTGTTTCCTGATTCAGCTTTCCTGATAAAATTGAATCTCCTCACTTTTTTCATAAAACAAAATTGAGGGCAGTGGATTTGAGGATCTTTTTCTAAAATGACTCTTTTCCTGTTGTAATACGCTCCTTCTTAGTTCAATGAGAATATATCCGTTCTCTTCCAAAATTCTTGCAATATTTATTTGGGGCTAAGCAGCAGTCAAATTTACCTATCAATGGCTCTAAATTCCATTTTTATTTCTAAGTACGTGGCAAGTCATTCGATGCGTTTGTGTCTCTCTCACTGTCCCTTTTTGTTTCTCTACCACTTCCTCTCTCATCCCACCTCACCTCTAAATTCTGAATCAGAGGGCAGGAATGTAATCATTTGAAGAATAAGTGATCACATTTCAAGAATGCAATCATTGGAGTGTTTCATTCCAAAAATACTGGACTAATTAAGATTGGAGAGATCAAAAACATTCCAGTTCCTTTGGTTTATGTTTCTCCTCTCATACTAATTAGTAAGTTCCTGAAAATCTTATTCACTTCTTCATTTTGCCACTAAAATTTCTGAGTTCAAGTTATTGAATCGATTTTAATAAATATTCATTGAGTGATCACTGTCTGCTGACATATTACTGGGCTTTTATCATAACCCATCCCTAAAATAGTTTTCATCATGGCCAGCTCTTTCTCAACCATCTTTCTCGGCATCTTAAATATTTTTCCTGTATATTATTGTTCATCATTTTTTGTCTTTAATGTACATATGTATGTGTGTATATGTGACTTTGGTTGCATGCTTTTTCTTTTCTCAAGAATTCCTTCTCTTCTTTTTTCCTTTCCTGGTTCTTTTTCCAGAGGACTGTTAGCTATAGATTTCTCCAAAAATATCTTTTTTGAAATACTGTTCTTTCTTAGTTGATACTTAAGGAACTTCTCTACTTAAGTAGCTGCAGTTAACACTTGTGTATGGACTAATTTAAGGCCTTTGTGGCTACTTCAAGGTAGAATGCAGAGAACTGCATATATGAGACTTACTATATACAGCTACTTGTCCTCATTTAAGATGTGAACGTGGGAAACATTACTATTCAGTTCACTTTGGTTGATGAGCTCTCCCTTGTAATACCTTCCAAATGTTGCTCTCTCACTTGAAAAAATCACCTTCACTTTAAGGTAGTATTCCCCTAAAACTCATCTTTCTCTTTTTTGCCTTTTGTCACATTTGTGGATACCATAATAATGATAAATACATAGGCTAAGGTGTCCTAATGTCTTAATGAGTATATTAAGATAAAGCATACCTTCCCCTCATTGGCTGTCAGAGTTGGCAGAAAAATACTTTAACATTATATTAAAGTTATTAAAATATTTTTTATTTAAATGTATATTAAAATATTACAGAAGTTAACATTAATATTGCCCAATTTTCTCTTCAAAAATGATGTTATTCTTCATTTCAGTATCCTAAATTATTGGAAATGCCCATAATCTAAATCCAGGTAATGTATTTCAGCACTTAGCAAGCTGAAGTATTTATAGTTTTTAAGGTTATATTTTCTTCCTAAGTTAACCAATTAACCAAGAATAGAGACTTCATTTTTCTGTGAACTTACATTAAAACCTATGTGTTGCTTATTACAATACATAGTGAAGATAATGGTGACAGACAATTCACATGCAACACCAGGTAACTTTTTAAAACGTGTTATTTATAAGTGAACTGTTTTATTGAAATGTGCATATGGGAAAGTATACAAATGATACACCCACTATTTGATGAAGTTTTATAAAGGATCCCTTACATGTAACCAGTACCCAGATCAATAATAGAACATAAAATAGCTATATTTTGGGACATGTTTTATTCTGCTATGAAGAAATGTTTGATATGTACTTTTTGGTGTTTACTGTTCTACAAAACACACTAAAGAAATCAACCTAAACAAGTATCCACACTATCAAAATCCAAACGAGGTTTCAGTGACAGATATATGTAAATTTTTAAAATATGGATTTTACCATTAATATGTATGAAGTTGATTTCTTTGAAAATAACCTAATTATAACATTTCTGCATAATGTGACTATGCTGACTGTTGAAGGACAAATGTACATTGTCTTGGTTAAACTTCTATGTTGTTGTTTTTTTGTTTGGTTTTATATTAAATTTCTAGAAGGTATAGAATGCCTCCCAAGAGAAGACTTCCTTTTTCTGTATAGATTCAGTATTAAACGTGTCCCTACTGAACGTTGCATCCCCTGTACTTTGGTGCAGTGAGATGTTTCCGTGTCACATAGTCAGAGGGAGGTAGATTAATAGGGAGTTCTAGCTGGAAATTTCTTCCGTTATTGTCTCCCTCAGCAGTAGATGGCTAAGTTAATTCTCTTTAGTTTTGTCATGCTCTAAAGCACACATTGCCAAGCAATGGTAAGCTTTATGAGGAAAAAAAGAAGCAATGGTGTCCATCAAAGTCTTAAAGTTGCATTTTTAAACTTTGGCTTGACCTGATGTGCCATTCAAAACAGCTTTAAAAGATTTTTTTTTTAAAGAAAGGTTCAATATGTCCTGAGGCTATCGGTTTTGAGTTAAACTGGGTGAAGTAGAAATATTTTACTCATCAGCTTTGCAGTCACAGAGTTTGCCTCAGCTAGAACAAAACTGCTGAGGCATTTAGAGAAAATTAACCCCCCATCCTGGCGGCCAGATGTGACTGGTTTCTGATGAATGCACATGAGTGGGCTGAAAAACCAAGAGACTGTGAAATTCCTGTCAGGTCCGTACAGTGCAGAATGGGCTATTGACTGCTTTCTATATTTCCCTCCATCATTCTTCTTGAACACTGCCATTAATTTCCTCTCCTACTCTGACTTGTGTTCCCCCCTTCCCTTTAGCTCTGTCAGCTGCAAAGAAGGATACACAGTGTGTGGCAGAAGTACCTCAAACTGGTGGTCCTCTACAGCCGCAAGAGGCTGGCCGGCTTCCAGGGAGACTCTCAGGAGAGCATTCAGAAAATACTAGCCGTGCAGGTAGGTGATTGCAGGGAAGCAGGGAAGATCATTGTGATCTAGATTGAAAAGCAAATGATGGGTAGTGTGATGAAGCATTAAAACCATATCCCATCAGAGTTTTATAAATTTTTAACCTCTTTAATAAACTGGAATTGCATGAAGGATGAATTCAGTAAGTTAGCATACACACCACGTGTACTTTGAGGGGAAGGGAGAATGAACTTATTTCTCACAGACCTCGGAGTGGATTTTTAGAAATACATTTGGTATAAATATATAATTTCAAATCTTAAGGCTTTGCAGATGGCACTCGGCTGTTTAAAAGATACTGTCAACAGTTGCCTTGTGTTCCTTTTGTGTGAAATCTGCAGTGAAAATGACACTCGCGTTCGTTTTAATTTAACTGTTTTCTTTCCCCTTCCATTTTGCTAGAGGCTCATTCCTCTGTGCACATTTGGAGATGACTTTTGTAAAAAATAAACAATTTGGGATTAGAATGTAAATATGGTTTCAGATACATGTGAAATTTTACTATTCGTCCCCTAAGAACCTTCAGTAGGGACATCTGTAATATTTTAAACAAAAATAAAATTAAAAAAAAAAAAACTTTCAGTAGATCAATTATCTTAAATTAAGACTCGGATCTATTGTAGAAACCCATATTGACTATGTGTAGACTATTTTATTAAAATTACTTAAATCTTTTCAAATTAACATTTTACTCTATGAAATGTTACAGTATTATAAAACATGACCTCCCAAAGCAAAACACATACCACCTTGTTTTATTAAAAAGCAAAAAACTAGAAGTATCGGTTATATATAAAAAAAAAAACAATGACATGTGCTTTTAAAACCATAATCTTCATTAACTTGCAGCATAAACAATGCATACTGAACCTAAGCAAACCAAATCTTTTTTCTAAATATTTTAATTATATGTGCACTTCATGATGCTTCTACCACAAGTAAAGAAAAGAATTTTGTAAAGCACTTCCAAAGCTATTTCAAATTTCATTTTTCTAGTGGCTATTTTTGCTGTTTACTTTTGAATATATGTATAGTACTACACATATATATATACTTTATATAAGGGTTCTATTGAAAATGGATAACAAAAAATTTAAAATAATAGGAGAAATTTAAAGCTTTGAAAAGGCAGTGCTTAAAATGTGTAAGTTGAATAGAGATTCATATCCAAACTTGAGTATAAACTACAACTGCAAATATTTTAGAAGTCAAGAACATGTTGTAAAAAGTATGTTAAAATATACTACATTAAAAATTATGAACTGGCTATAACCTGTAATTTCCTTTTAAATATTCAAAGGTGATCTGCATGCTGTAATTATTGTCTTAGAAAAGTCCCATATTTCTGCCCAAATGTAAATGTTCTTAAACATCTTAAAAATGATAAATTCTCATTGTGAATTAGGGTATGTTTTGAAATGTTGAAAATGTCCGTAGAAAACTATTAGAATATCGGTAAAGTGCATTCTCAATTCATAATCTTCAATAATCCTTATTCTAGTTTTTTATTAGAAATTCACCAATAAATTCTTTACCAAACTTGATTTAAAATTATTTATTTTTATGGCTGTTATGTAACAGTGGACATGAAGGGGTAGAAATAATGGGATAGTATTGGTAGGAAAACTCAACTACTCATCTAGAAACCCAGCAGCAAGTTGTGATTGTATTTGGGGAACTTAAGGAGCATAATTTAGTGGATTCTTTTCTTAATTGCTGCAGATGTCTTCAATCAAGAATATTTAAATTTTGGCTTTTAATAAAAATGTAAAAATGTAATTTCCAGGATTTTTCATAAAACAATAGGAACAAGGGCAATCCTTTGATAAAACTTCAGTCCTAAACTTTCAGCATGGTGCATACCACTGTGTACTCTACATACCCCGTACTGTGGTTGTGTATTTAGCAGCTCACTCTTCTGATGGTAGGCTCTTCTTTCTAGAAGATTCTAAGCTTCCTTGGGGCTTTACGCCATCAGTGAGATTTGTTCAATTATTACTCATGTGTTTTTTAGGGGGTATGGAAGTAAGGCCTCTTAAGGGAATTGAAAGTATCCTATGCCTATCTTATTGTTAATTATATCGAAATTTGAAAAAAGAAAAACAATGTAGAGTAATTTAGTGTTTTCAGAGTGAGTCTGTGGATGTCAGTCCCTACAGTCTGACTCAACATGGCCCTGTGCATATGGTTCAGTTGGTTAGAGCATCATCCCGTACACATAAAGGTTGCGGGTTTGATTTCTAGTCTGGGCCCATACCCACCGTCAGGGATGTGCAGGAGGCAGCCCATTGAAGTTTCTCTCTCACATCAATGTCTCTCTCTCTCTCTCAAATCAATAAAACATATCCTCGGGTGAGGATTTTTAAAAATTGCTTAACAGACCAGATGTCATTGCTCTCTTATTTCATGTAATTTAGTAGAATGTCAATGTTGGGGAATTATTTGATGCTATTTTATATTTAAAGCTCTTTGGCATCTTATTTAGAAAAAAGACTGGGCATGAACACATCATTTAAATGAGAGAATGTGATATGACTACAACATGTAAATGTGATCTTAGACTGCGTAAGCATGCATATTTTGTCTGGGTAAAGGAGATGACAGCCCCCTTGCACTTCTTAAAAGGTTGAGTATATTCACATTATTTTATACAGGTTTGGAAAGCATAGTTAAAGGATCATATTAATATACTAGAGAGAAGTAATATAAGGAAGACCAGGGGAAAGGTGGAATATACAAAATTTAGAATGCTTAATTGTAAAAGGAAAAGACTTTGGTCGGCTCATATAATATTTTGTATATTTAATGTATAGATATTCACAGTTCAAATGTGTTTTAATAGTGTTACTTACAGAAATAGGAGAGCACCTTCAAGCAGAGAAGTATGAGAGAATTGGAAAACATATTTCATAGCTATACAGTAGACATTGTTCCTTGATTTTCTTTTCTCCAACAAGGCATTTATCTAGTTCTTAGTATGTGTCAGACATTGTCATCAGTGCTTTATAAATTTTAATTCATTTATTCTTGAAGAACACTAAGAGATGCTATCATAGTGTTCCTATTTTATGGAAGAGGAAATTGAAACACATGGAGATTACATATTTTGGCTACAGGGTACGTGCCCTTAGCTACCATGCTATGCCAGTTTTCTGTGTCTCTGTCACTGAGACTAGATAGTCTCAGAGAAAGATAAAGACAAGAAATAAAGTAAGATCTTTCTTAAGGCCACAGATAACAGGCTGACTACTTTAGGTTTGATACTCCAGGAATGCATTGAACATTCAGTAAATAATTCTTGGCCTTTTTTCAAACCATGTACTAAAATTTTGCCATATACTTCTTAGGTATTTCTTCTTATCGGGGAGGGGAAGAATTGTGCTGGACTAGTAATAAATTAATACAATTAACACAAGAATACATTAGCTGTAGGAAATCAGTTTAATATATGTGTACAGGAGAATCACAGTATGATGCCCAGATCATAAAATGAGGCTCAAAGAAGTGATCAAACCAGGCATCTTTTTATATTATTTATTTAAACAAAGTAATAATACATTTGTGAGAAATTAACAGGACAAAATTAGTGCTCATTATAAAGCAATCTAAGCAAGGTTTGGGTATTTTCTTAGCAAGGAGTTTAAAGTAGTATATTAGGAAAGAGGCAATAAGAGTTGATTATACAGACTTTTTGGATCTTAGTTGTTTAACTCTAGTGATAAAGGGTGTCTCCAGGTGCAATGAGGACACCTTTCACATAAGAGGGCTGTTTTCTGCATCCAAGGGGACAAACAAGGGTCAGGGTGCCAGCTGCTTGTTAAGTAACTTTACTTTAATCAATATGGCATTGTGGGGTATTTAGGGGCAGCCTGTCTTGGGCCCCTTTAGTCTCATGGTATTACTATAGCTTAACTTATTAGCTACCAGAGGGGAGTGAACTTAAATCATAAAAAGTATAAAAATAATATGGTCATTTGGGTAAAAAACAAAAATCACAGATCCAGTAAATTCAAAGAAGCCCCCAAAAGATACATACTTAAAAATCATATCTAGATATGTTGTAGTCAATTTCTGAAAACTAAAAATCTAGAAAATTAAAAATAAAGATAAAATCTAAAAGCATCCAGCAGGTAATAAATAAAAAGTTACCTCTAACATTTCATCAGAAACTATCAAGGCCAAAAAATGTAGAAGAAGATCTTTATACTGCTGAAAGAAAAACTGAATTCAGAATTCTCTACCTAACAAAAATATCAATTCTATTGACCTAATTTAACCATATCAAAAGTTATATTAAATATAAATGGACTAAAACCCCCAATTAAAAAGAAAAGATATAGTCACATTTGCTAAATGTGACCAGATTCAAACTTAATTGTCTAAAAATGATCCACTTTAAATACAAGACATGGATAGGTTAAATATAAAAGGTTGGAAAAATACATGGCATGCAACACCAAGCATAAGTTGGATAGGATATATTAATATCAGACAAATTAAACTTCACAACTAGAAAATTACCAGGCATAAAGAGGGTCATTTTATTAAGAGACAGAATCAATTCATCAAGCACATATAACAATCCTAAATGTATATGCACCTATTAAAAAAAAGTTTTCGAAAATACATTAAGCAAATATTGAAAAAACTTAAAGTAGAAATAAAACTATGCATAAGATTTTAATATTTCTCCCTTGGAATTGATAGAACATGCAGAGAGAAAACCATCAGAACATAGAAGCATTGAATAACACTATCAACCAACTGGACCTATTTGACATATATAGAGTGTTGCATTCAACAATAGCTGCATACACATTATTTTAAGTGCATATGGAACATTTCCAAATATATTCATATACTGGATTATAAACAAGTCCTAACAAATTTAAAAGGATTGAAATAGTGAAGAATATGTTTTCTGACCACAATGGAATTATTAGAAATCAATAATTAAAAGATATTTGAAAATAAGGAGAACCTCTATT